AAATAAATCCAGTAGCTGGTCAAAAATGAGATGAATATCAATCTTCTGCTAAGATCTTTTTCAACCCCTGATCCATCTATTTAATATACGTCTTAAAAATATAATAAAATGAAATTTATTATTTGACTATACTTTAGATGATGACATCATTCTATTTATCTTTAATTCAGTATCATTACCTCTACAATTACATCCCACACAAAATTCAAATCCATTATAGTTAATTATGTACATTTTATTAATATAATAACACAAACAAATACGTTATTGTGACGACTGAATTGTATTTTTGATCAATAAAATTCAATTAAATTCGAAAAGTGATTAGAATCAGAGTACATGAACAGCTGTATAAAATTACATGAAAATAAAAAAAACATTCTATAAAAATCGAAAAAAAATATCACAGTTTCATTAATCAATGTCACGATGATGCTATAAAAATAGTATAAAGTTTCAGTAGTGGATGTATCAATAAAATAATAAATAGATAAAAAAGGACGTTGAAGATCCAACAAGTAAAGGAAGAATAACGTATTATACACAGGAAAGAGATTGATGAAAAATTGATAGACTCTCATTAAAATTTAAAATTTCTTCTATAGAATAGAATTTTTTCAATTTTCTAAAGGAAGCAAATTATATGCCATTTCCTATCGATTTTAGCACTCAAACAAAAACTTGAACAATTCAACTTTATGTAGTAGACATACAATTGGATAGTTTACAAGAGACCTCATCAACGGCAACAACGGTTTCAGTGAACGGAGCTTCACAAATTGTTGTAACGCATTGGCTTACGGTTTCGGTTTCCTTCGATAAATCGAAACGAGGAAGCCCCATGAAAGTAAAGCGAGAAAGAGGATATCCCCGTTGTCGTAAGGGCAGACGATGGCTATATAGAAAGGAAGGGCAAGAAATGCATGGGACGATGTATTCGGTTACCAGAAAGGTCGACCTTTTTCTCTGATGTTTCTTTTTACTGCAGGTTAAATTATTGCAGGTGAATAAAATTGTAACGACGGAAACTTTCTTACTACTTTGACTATTTTTCGCTACATCCACTTTTTTGTTAGTTCTTTTTTTCTACCTACGGTTATTAGTGACATGTTAATGATCTGATTAATAATGGATTAGTTCATGTTAGTATTTTTTTTTGTTTTGTTAAAAAACTTTCACACGACTTAGCTTATGTTAATTTTGTTATTAATGTTGGTTAATTAGTTAATCAATGATTAGTTTGTGTTAGTAATGTGTTAATTATGTTAATTTTTTGTATTAATAATTTTTTAAAAAATAATGTTAAATAAATTAGTCAGTTAGTAACATGTTAGTGAATGATTAATATCTGTTAGTTCAGGATTAGTATATATTTTTGTTTTTTTTTTAAATTATTGTTAATGATTTAGTAATTTTTTTTTTTTTTAGTAAAATGTTAGGGTTTTATTAATGTTAATGACTTGATTGTTACAAAATGGAGGTAGAGAAGAAGAATTTAGTAAATTTTTGTAGTTCATATGGACAAAACTTGAAATAGTTTGTACAGCAGTTTCACCATGAAGGCGATAAGTGGTCGATAAGTAGTTGTATTGCTTGAGTTCCTCAGGGTTATCGTTGCTTCAGGGCAACAAACTCGCAAAGGCCATGTTAGTAAGTGAAAAAAGAGAGATAAAATACAAAAATATCAACGTGAAAAAAAATAATCAAAAAAAAAGTCTATATCCTATTTGAATCCCACAAATTCACCAGCAATATTTTCACGCTTTATTTAATATTCCTTTCGATGAAAAAATTATTTTGCCATCAGAAAAATCGATTTAAAATTCACTCGATTCGATAGCCGCAGGCAAAAGTAAAACGGTTTCTTCTTAACCTACCCTAAGCCACAAAATGGAAGATTCCAATTTACGCACGTGTGTCAGTATGTGTTGATGCGTGTACACTTTCGAGGATTTTGATTGGTCGAAGGACCTTTTATGTAACCTGAGGGTTAGTTGGGAGCAACGAAAAAGTGACGAAAGGACTTTGGTGTGCTTCCAGAGGGAAAGGAAGCAGTTGGAAATTGAGCAAAAACTTCTTCTTCTTCTCTACCCATTGAACGCGATCTTGATATCCCCCTCTTTGATAATTCCAGTGAGTAAATTATTCGAGAAATTTTGTGAAATTGAGGTAAATTACAAGGTTATAAATATCAAATTTTGGATTACGCGTATCTTCATCCTCTTCTATAAAGCTCTTCTATCCTCCTTCAACCTCCTTCAAACCATCTCAGTGGTGTAGCTCCAGTGATAAACGATTCTCTCCACTCGAATCTTGAAGTGGATTACCGATATTTCCCTTATCGTCGCGGAACTCAAGAGTTTTTGAGTGTGCGTACGGGCGTGGAAGAGAGGAAGAGAAACCCTCGTGATATCGTCGTCCTCGACGATTATTATCAAGTTTGAAAATTGTCGAGTGTTCCCCACAGACATCCGAATACATACTATTACGCTAATAAACTTATAAATCTTTATCAGCATTAATTTATTTGCAAGGAAAGCGATAGAGGGATTTCAGAATATATAGCGAGATAATTATAGCCGGAAAAATGTTCAAATAATGAATAGACCATCTGATTATTATTAGAATTAAGTTGTATATAAGAAACATGTTGCGTGAGCAAAAGAGATTATACGAGAATTTCGTGAACACGGAATCAAGTCAGGAAAGTATCTTTTAATACTTTGAAACGAAAAAGAATGAGAGTGCCTTCTTCCTCAAGATAAGATGGGCGTTTTAGTTGATCGAAGATGAGTTGTTATGATGGACAACCCATAATATAATCAATCGTCTCATGTGTTCATTAACTATTATATGCTATTATATCAACTACTATTAACTTCTTACATTTTTTTCACCACTTTCAATAATTCCCTTTCACTAGAGATTCTTATTTTGCATAAACAAACATTCAATTTACATACGAATTGACTCGAATAAAATATCTTTAAATATAAAAGAGTTGTAATAATTATAACGAAATTGGTTAAAATTAAATTTTGACAGGTATTATATTTAAAAGTTGGATAATTATAGTTCAAGAAAATTACTTATTCTCTTTAAATGTCTCCAGCTATTTAAAACTCTGAGACGTTATTGATTATCGGCAATGACGTCTTTTCTCCTTCGTTTCCTTACTCTTTTACAAGCCCTTCCACGTTTCAAAAGCTATCAGCAATGTCCGGGTCTTAAAAACCATCAGAACCGTTTCAGGAATATTTTTAATTTGATTTAAACTTCATTCTGACTATCCTATCAAGCTTGTAAAGTGTAAATGATCAACTCTGTTGAAGAGACAAAAAGAGCAAAAAGATTCTTTCATTTAAAATAATATTATTTGGTAAAACTCTATCACTGTCAGACATTTTTTAACATGCTTTTCTTGTTGGATTCACTTGATTTGCTTTTACTATTTCCATTGAATAATAAACGAATCTGTTTCTCGAGTTGAATAAAAAATGGAGATATTTATATTTTGATTTATTCCTCAATGTTAGTGAACTGCAGAGCGTTCAATGCCCATGATTCATAGGTCAAACGTCATACACTAACGTCAGGGATAATTGATTTGTTTGCTTGCGAAAATCTTTCATGATCGGTGTGAATGCTCCCGTATAAGTAGTTGTTTTGTTTCTTTATAAAATCGTTTCTCAATTAACTCTTGTTCTGTCTATCTCTATTATGACTTAAATTTTAGTTATCAGCATCAGTGTTTAATAACATATAAGAATGTTATACATATAGTTAATAGCTAAACTTTGCAACTGTTGCAGTAAAATAATATTTATCGTTAAATGTAACTCACGAAAATGAATTGTATCATCAAAATATCGATAAGTAATTCAAGCCATAGGCTTACGAAAAAAATAACACGTTTTGTTTCGCTGAAATTCTGATACGCGATTATTATGACCCGGGTCGAGCCTTGAACTTGCTCTACGATAAGCCCAAGTTGCTTACAAAGATCATTTGCTTCAAATAAAGCCTCTACTATCACACTCTTGATAAAGTAAATTCCACGTCCAATCGTTGAAACCTATTTATAACATTCTAGTCACTAAGTAAAAAAAAAAAGAGGAGCTGAGGAATGATATTTTGAAATTTTTTCAACGGTAATTGTTTCGCTGTAAAAGATTATTCATCTAAGTGTACATAATTATGGTGAAAGGAGGTTTGTTCTTGAAAAAGTTGAACGAAAAATGAATATGATGATGTGATTTAAATATATATGATCCAACATTTTTGCGAAATAAATTGGAAGATAGATATCACGAAATTATATACTAATCTGTAATGAATAAGCACGATATGGGTGTTATCAGTAGATGAGAACAAACGATTCAAGCAGATCAACCCACCACCAACCCTCTATTCAATGTCACTACAATAATAAACCACCTCGGTTATCTGTGTTTCTGTATTTTCCTCTGGGAATCCTCCTCTTTCGTGGCTTCCCTCTCTTTCCCAATGGCACATTCAGCCAACATCGAGGCCAAGTTCAGGCTATATATATCTACACAACATCCAATCCTGTCGGGCCACCCACCGTTGACGTTTACACACCACCCTGCGCTCTTTTGCTACCACGCTACTCTACTAGTGTATGTCCGAGTCACCATCAGCAGTTTCTATTTCTCTACACACATTGACTGGGCAGTTCTTCGTAGCAATTCTGGCATAAACAAGTCGTTCACACGCTCATATCCGCTCACTTTCGTTCTTAGCACACGCACTTCTAAAAGATTCCTACTTATCTACACGTAGTGGAAATTCCAACGCCATGAATTTTCATTTACATTGAGACAAGTCGCGCGTATCATCGCGTGGGAATTGGCCTCACTATGTTACCTGGTTGATCCTAAGACCCCAAGTACTTTTTTTGCTCGTCAGGTGCGTGAATTTAATAACTCTATGAGGATGAAGTTGTCATGGACGTGAATTTGAATGAAAAAATGACTCACCTTTTTCTCCGTGAGCTTCTCACACCGTCGCATCTTACAGATCTGATGACTTTTGTCGTTTCTGCATGGCGCACAGTCTCCACAGTTGTCTTTTCGTTGGCATCCGATGCATTCTCCGCAACGTTTGCGTTTCTTTTTGGCTGGTTTATCACCAAGACCACCTTCTCCATCAACATCTCCCATTCCACTACCAATATGTCCATGAGGACCACGGTTAGCAGTAGAAGAAACTGCTGCTACTTGACCAGAACTTTCAACATTACCACTACCATCTTCAGACTCCATAGAGCCAGCACGTATTTTTCTACGTTCTTTTTTCCTGCCATCAACACCTACCGCACGTGAAGTCGGTGAGGAGTCAAGAACAGTTGACATGGGGTTCTGGAAGTTTGCATGATGCAATTGAGGGTACTCGGGTTTCACCACAGTCAGGACAGTATGATGAGGATGACCTGGTGGTGGAGGTGCAAAGCCCTGGACTGGACTAGATCCCAGGAGCTGAATATGCCGTTCATCAAGCAATTGTTGTTGCAGAGCTGGAACTTCTCGTGCTTGGACGGGTGCAGGTACCAAGGGATAACCAACAGATCCTCGGTGTGGATGGGGTGGTGGTAGTGGTGTTCCCAGAGTATGGAAACTTGGCAATCCAACAGCTGAAGTGACTGGCGGTGAATGCGAGATTGATGCAGGCGACAACGGCGTTAAGGCTGTCAACTGCGGTTCCGATTCACTTGGTGGTGCAAATTGACTTGCGAAGCTTGGCAGTCCCTCATTGTTAGGGCCAACGCCATGCTTGGACTCCCATGGTCGGTACTGACTGGCTAATACTACTTCACCTCGGGAGTCTATCAGACGACCCGTCAATCCCTCGTAATAGTCCCACGAGGAAGTCAATCCTAATCCGATGTCTTGGCTGTGCAGTGTCGTCAATGTTGTTCCACTGTCCATTGTGACGTCACCAGAGAAACTACTGAAAGGCGGCAGATGACGATTTGGGTCACCAGGTCCGATATTACCTGGCGATGCTGCTAAAGCCGCCGGGGGGCTCACCCTCTCAGGGGCGATGCCCTCCTTCTTTACTTCAGCGCTCATCTTCCCCAACACATCTTCAAATCCATCCCCTGGCTGTAGCTGTCCAGGAATTTAACCTCTTCAATTGTTTCAATTATTTTTTCAGAAATAAATAGCAGATATCAAAACCCAACACCAATATTTTTTGATAACTCTTGAATTACATTTAGTCACTGATGCCGATTGTTAAACTCGAGATCACAAACGACGATATTAAAAAATTTTCTTCTATATTTTATTCACAAATGGCTTTCGCCGCACTATGGATAAGTTTCGTTGAGCTTCACGTTGGCTAACTTCACTTTTTGTATTTTTTTTTTTTATTTTTGTACTCGACAGGTTTAGGCTACGAACTGAAGTAGATCGGTTTTCGTACGTATTTTTTCCTGAGCGAAATTTCCTTAAATTGTTTTACTTAAAATTTCATAAAAATTTACTCGTCGATGCTCATTAAAAAATGTAAAATACTTAAAAGGTTAACTATAAATTCCTATGCGATCTTTTTTTAGACTCTGCTTCTAAATTGTTTATTAACGGAGTGCGGAAAACTCAGTGCTTGGCGAAGCCTACTATCATTTATTTTTTTCCTTTAATATTGAAATGGCTCCAGCTGTTCTCCGCTTGTTAATCTCGTTGAATGATTAGTAAAAAAATGGTAAATTCTTTGGTTTGTGGTTTAGTTCTATTTCACTTTGTCACACGATTTTTTTTTAAACAATAAACTCACTTTTGTTTGTAATCCTTTAGTTTTGGCACTGGCGGACTTTTGTATCAGATATATTTTTGTACACTAGATAGATACTATAGCTTTTTAATCCCGATTTCAGTCACTTTGTCTTTGTTATTTTCCTTTAAACTTTCTCCTTTCACTTTTTCGAACCTAAAAGCTCTTGAGATATTATGACAATATAGACACTAATTACGTCATTCGCACTTCGTAAGAAAATATAAATCACTTGAGGTTAATGTAGCTTAGAAGGCGGTTGATTTGTACGATCTGCAACAGAGAAATAAATAACATCCACATTAATTTTAATCCTTGATAAAAATATTACATTTTAAAGAGCTCTTATCATATCAATCAAATGTCTCATCTACATTTTTTTAACTTTAAATAACATTATGTCTATTATTCCAAATGACTATTCACGTAATATGATCTCATACATTTATATATTCGTTCATTCTAGCGTCCCTTTGACCTCGTTTGTCGGGAAAACGTGAGTCGACATGCAACTCTCGGTAAATCCATGTGTGATATAAACCTCGGGCGCCTGTTGACCACGCGCTCTACTCTCGTTCTCTTACCAAGGTTACTATTACGAGTCCTCCCTCTATACACTCGCCCACCTCTATTCCCACGCTTTAGTATTCGTAAACGACGTATACTAGGCTACCGTAGTTGAACTACCCGTCATTCATATCGCTATCTACTTACTCTTACCTACTTCAAATACATTACACCTCAATTATTTTTTATTACTTTATTTTTGCTTCATAAATAATTAATCTCTTAATCAATTTTTAATGCTTTGCCGTAATTATTTCGCTGAAAAATTCCCTTTATCCCCCATCTATCTAAAATGTCTTCTAAAGTACCAGAAATGTGACGCATTATTTTTTTTTTTTTTAGACATTACGTGAGCTTTTTAATTTTTTTCGAGACAGCTTAACAGATGTTCATTAATTAAAATAATTACCACGCCATGTTACCTAACAATTTCCACTGTTTTTCTAAAGCCAAATAATTTTTTAAGTTGATAAAAAATTTTTGGAATTAAATTTTTTATGGAGAAATTCATCAGTAAATGATGATTTTTTTTTTTCTTTAATGAACGTTTGTATGAATACACTTGAGAATTAATCTACAAGTGTGTAATAGAAAAAATTTTAATCAAGGAAATTGTCAATAACTGAATAAAAAAAGAAAAAAAATTTATCGTATCAAGTTCGAAGCCATCAGCCGTAACTCGTGCGTCGTGGAGCCAGGACGAAATATCGACCCAATGTTTAGCTCACTGCTACACAACTACGTCTCTCACACCCCATGTAGCACATTGAAACGAAGTTGGACGGTTCCACACGTCGTCTACATGCATCGGTACACCATTGATTATGCCTACATGTATACTCCATACGTATATACAATTCAGTTTACAGGTGTAAGTTAGTTCGACACAACTCATTTGAAAAGTTAACACAGTCTGTTACACGCATACAAATATTCATGTTCTACCCATTTATCTGTACATGAGGCCCTGTAATCATAGTCTAATAGTTCTCTTTTGCTTTCAAATTCATCTTCTCGTCCTCGACCTATTATATTCTGCAGTAGATCATCACCCACTCTCTCGTATTTGATGTAATAGCTTTACAGCTGGCAATGAGCTTTCGCTATCACTCACAACTTGCACTGTCGTTTGAAACACTTTCGCCCGTGAACTTTAAAATCGACTTTTGCTATTCCCAGCGATGAAAACTTTTAAAGAGAAAATTTGTAAGAAATTCTGTAGAATAATATTGGAAATGTTACTTCTATTAAAATTAATGAATTTTTTTTTTCAACAAAATGACGTTAGTTTAAATTGCAAACAAAAGAATGACGATATTCTTTTATTATTATTATAATTAATTCATTAAAAGTGTAAAATAAAAAGTGAGTTATTAAAACTGTTATCTGGTTAATAATTCATTAAATGCAAATTAAACTGAATTAAATATAATTTAACGCTCTACTTTCTCTTCATTAAAATTGATTTGATTGAATTCTTGCAAATGATAAAATAAAATTTATGAATAGAAATATTTTTAATCTACATAAACAACGAATAAAAACAATAAATAACAAACAAAGAGGCATGATAGATTCATTCTTGCACAAACAAATGATTAATGATAATTTCTAATGATGAATTTTTTAATGAGCAATCGATTTCTCGATATATGTGGCAAGATCACGAACAAGTCATAGGGGATTGAACTTTCTGTGATGGTTTATAAATTGTCTTGACTGAATACCGTGAACTTTAGTCTTTAAAGGTCGCGAAACTCCTTGGCGCGACGATACTGCGTGGCAGATATATGCGAACTAAGTGATAACGTGCGTCACCTCTCTCTATGATGGAAAAAAACAACAATCATTAACAGTAAATTGTACTAAATTACTGTTATTTAATGAATGAACTTTTCTAAGTCGAGAAAGTTTTATAATGGAGTTCAATAAATGGCAGGAAAATTCCCTCATGTATGTGTGACGAAATTTACGTTATCTTTTCCCTTTTGAAAGAAGATGATACTAAAATTTTACGACCACGTGGCTCCAACTTAAATCTAGAAACACTCGGATATTTCACATGCCCTATCTCAAAATGGACGACTATCTTTTAGTGATTTTCATGCTGATATCATTCACAGGAAAAATACCTTAACGCTTCCGAAAAAAAAAATTCACTGTAACGAATTTTAACAAACTTCGTTGAACAATGAATAAAAAATACTGTTTGGACATACTCTAATTGAACAATAGGTAAAAAAAAAAGATGCGGATGATTGAAAAGACATAAGAGATTTCCTTGTTTGCATGTTGAAAGAATATTTACGACTGGACAATAAACAATTTTCTTTTTTTTTAAGAAAAAGAGTCAAATGCTGAACGGATTTAGAATAAAGAGTAGAAATATTTTGTTGAAATTTAGAAGAGATATAAGAAGAAAAAAAAATTCAAAAGCCAAAAAAAAAAGGATTTTTAAACTGAAAAGATCCTTTCGCAAATGTTTGAAGAATTGAGGAAGAAAAAAGCGGGAAAGATCCGGAGCATTTGGTCTGGTAGAGAGCAGCTGGTCGGGCATGCACTTTCGCTGAATCGACCGTAGCAAACGCACAAAAATTCAATACCGCCTCTTGCGAGCTGGCCCATAGTGCACGCTCCGTCGCGCTATATACCCAGTGCGATGAAACGATGTGTTGGATTCTTTAGTTCGCGAGGAACCTGCATATGTTCGCAGCAAATACGTCGGACAAGTTTCCTAGAATCATGATACACAGCCTCTGCAAACATGTAGACTCTTCATACCACGAGCGAAATTGAATGAGAGAGAGAGAGAGAGGGGAAAAAAAATAATTACACTGTAAAGACGCTAAAGATATTAGTTGTTTTACCCCAAATATATATCTTATGAACTCGTTTAATAGCTCAAGCATAAAAGAAAATTAAATTTTTTTAATACTGCCAAGTCATTAGCGCCATTTTTCTCATACTTCCGGTATACTTTAGCAGTTAATAATTTTTTTCTCGTTAAAAAAACCATTTCCTTTATTCTCTCTTTTATGAAGCAACTCTAAACCATCTCAGCAATTTATTTTTTGGTGTACTCCAAATATATTTGTAGCGTCATGTAATGATTCAACCAAAATGATAAAAATTTTTGAATGCTGTAGAGACATTAGCGCCATTTTTCTTGTACTTCCGGTACTTCCGCAGCTAATAATTTTCCCTCACAACCCTCGCGCTTTGTTTCCGTGCAATCCACGATAACGACACGCACCCTCTTTCATATCCGTTTTATTTTTTTTTTTTCGAGTTACAGCCGCAGGGTAGTTGCTAATTTTAATGTTGTCACGGTATAAAAATCATCGCAAGGCGCTGAAACAACTTGGAAACAGACGAAAGAGTATGATTTCAACTGCACTTGGCTGATGTTACTTGCTAGCGATGGTTCAGTCTGGCGAAAAAGTAAAAAGTGCGACGGGCTCTTAGAGCAAAAAAGCTCTTGGGTACACTTTCGCCGACCTCGTGGTGCCGCGGTGGAGTCTCGCGACAAAGGCTGCTTGATTCAAGGTCTCACGCACACGCGCATGCATCAACATACAACGACCAACACACACGCACGCGTACTACAACGTTTTATATCCCCATACTCTCGAAACGTTTTGGTGGTCGCTGCCAGCCACTCTCTCGTCCATGTGTACGCACAAATTCGTGGATATTTATCTCTATCAATTTTTTTAACTTTTTTTTTCAAAATTATTAGAGAATATACGTGAGGTTTATGGATGCTCCTTTTTTTCCTCTCCACCGTCATTTTGGAGCAAAAATTATTTTAGTAAACAAAAAACATCATCTGGGCTTTAAATATTTCGTTTTTTATGCTCTTTTCTAATCCAAACATGAAGAAATTCTTCAAGTAGTTTCAAAATGACTCCAAAAATATATTTTTCCGGTCTAGAAGGACAAGCATAAATTTTTTATGATTTCATTCAATTAAATAAACATTCGGTAGTTAACTAAAGTGTTTTTAATAAAGCCACCCAAATAATTTGAATTGAATGAATGAATCATATAGTTTGGAGTGTTAGAAAAAAATCGAAAGCACATGTAGAGTCATTAAAAATTAGCAGATTGATTAAAAAATTGATGTAATACACTCCCGTAGCGGACAAACAGAAGCCTCTGTTCCTCTCTCGTCCCTTTTAGCGAAGCACAATATTTTCGCCGCTGCGCATGCGTTTACGAACTAACTCGCGTGCTCACACACTCACGTGTATCATGTGTTGTAAACCAACGTATAAGCCCTCTCATGCACACGTGTATACACACAATGAGACTTTCGACCTCAGTGTCTGTCCATGGGACCCTTAACTCCCACCCATACACCTTCGAGATATCGGAAATGATATAAAATTGCGTCTACTACGTCGCTGATATTTAAATTGGTTCGCTAAACCACAGATTAATGCGACACGAACGACGACAAAAGCTTCTAGGCTTCATTCAATCTTTATTATTATTTATTATAATTGTTTAATCTTTCAATTAAAATCATTTTTATTTATTCAATTTAATATCTCTGAATTTTTTCAATTATTCCTCACTCAAGCTTCGCTTTTTTTTTATTGCAAGCTATTTATTTATTTTTTTGCAATATTTTTTTGTTTAATTTAAGCAACAACAATTAGCACGATTGATCTAGATAGTGAGCATTGTGTGATAATTTATGAAAACATCGATAGTTGAGTTCACTGAACATGGAAATGAGAGAATGCAATCAGACGTCATAAACCAGTCCATTGACGTGCATTTTTTTAGCATTGAAAATTCAATACCGCAAGAAGACTTGAATTATTAAGTCCATAATTAAGTTTGACAGACATTTAACTCCACATCAACCACGAGAAATATTTTAATACCTATCATTAATTCATCAATTTTACTGATTTAACACCAGTGTTATTGTATTGTTAATAATATTATATTCATCGTCCAGATAAGAGTGAAAAAAAATTACACGATGCGCGAACATTTATCCTGACTCGTTACCTCGTTGCCTTAAAACACACATCCGGTATAAAACTGTATACATATGATTATAAGACGATCTTAAAATTGAATTGAAAGAAAATTTTTTATCAAGAATTTCCAAACACGATGTGATTAGATGTTTTATCGTCTGGCCTAGGTGGCATGATTGAATATATTTACGTCAATAGAAACAAACATGAAAAAAAAAATGTTTTTTCGGCCATTTTAAGTTCAAGATAACGTGTCTCGTATATATATTTTTTTGATAATTATTTAATTTAATAATTAGATCATTAAATCGAAGCTGTCATAACATGATATGATAACTATATCACCAAACGATGTTTTAATAAATGTTACAACAATTAAATGCTCTTACGTCAAGAATTAGATTGATAATAAAATGAGAAACAACTTCGATTTTCAGTACAATTATCATTCAAATTTTTGTGCCTATTGGAGTGGAATTTATGAATATCGAATGATCAACGATGGAATTCGTTAGTAAAATAATTCTTATCAAGTGTGATATTAATGATAAAAATCCACCCACAAATAATTATTCAGATGCAATATAATAGATTCACCGATCAAGGGCAAGTGCAACGGTAGCACAGTGTAGCCGATCAACACCGATCACAAACGAAACTAACCAGCAGCCACAGACTCTCACGAGATTTTACGAAACTGGCGGCTCAGACCATAGCCGCCGTCGCCGCGTGCCGATTTCAGGGCGGTGGGCGATAACTGCAATAAAAAATACGAAAGAGAACCTGAGGGACCGGTGCTCGTCCGTAAATCTTTCCATGGCGCCCGTTGTTCTCGCGCTCTTCTCTGATGCCGGTTTCCTTATACCTAAGACTCTCTCGGCTTTGCCGATTCTTTGAGAGTTCGCTACGCTTGAATTTGCGACTACCGAAAGTCACTAGGACCACCATTCTAAGAAAAATCGTCGTGTTACGAAACGGAAGCCGTTTTATTCTACTGTGGCCTTCGAGTTCTCAGTTTTTTACATCATTTAATGGTTTCCTTATGTCCTTTCTACATACCAGGATTATACATTTCTTTCGATCTTTTTTTTTTTGAATTAAATGTTTGTTTAAACTCTTTTAAGTAGGAAGAAAAAAAAAATATCTCAAGTGAAATAAAGGTTTTTATCGTACAGTCACGGTTAAAATTATTTGAATACTTATAATATCATTTAAAAATACTTTTTTATCGAATGAATTTAATTCTTTTCATGAAAATAAATTTTTTATGAGAGAAATTTTATTTTAAAATTGAAGAATTCTTTCGTTATTTAAAGTCTTTTAATGATTTCTTTAACAATATTATTTGTTGATTAAAATAACTAATTGATGATGTACAGATCGTGGTATGTATTTTAATATTTATTCTTATCCAATCATAAATAATCCGATGAGAAAAAATCAATGCTCACGAAGCAAAACAAAAACATTAAAATCATACATTTTAATGATACTAATACTGCTCTAAAAAAAACTCCAAGTTATTTTTATGATGAATTCTCTATAACTACTCATGAAAGCATAAATTTTGGATTAAAAAAATTGCCAAAACTTCCGCATACTTTTCTTTATTTTCTGTTTGAGGAAAAATTATTTGAATTTAATGACTTATCGTTTCCCTGTTCGAAAATATCCACAGCGGGTTTATCCACCCATGAGTCACAGGTTAATATTTTTTACGTCTCGTAACCGAAAAAAGATCGTATACAAGCTCGTATAGAGCGTGAACGAGAGAAAAACGTCGCACTTCCTTTTGCTCTCTTTCGTTTCCCTTGCACACGCGCGAATGTCTCGTCGACGTCGACGCAAGCCAACGAAGATACTTGAATAGAAGAATAATACATAGAAGCAAGAGAAGCACAAGTAAAAGAAGCAAGGGAAGCGCATATAAAGCCGCGAATGAAAGCGAGAGTAGAGCGCTCCATTCTTTCTACTCTCCGTCCACTTTCATTCTCAGCAGTTTCGTGAGTCGACCACGCGAGCTTTGCCAACTAAAACGGAAGAAACTATACATATATAAGTGAATAAAAAAAAATAAAATAAAATAAAAAAAAACAGGAATTTACACACACGTGATCTTCCCAATTTCAGGGCCACAGCGTCACGCAAGGAAGAAAAAATAAGTAGATAAACAGAAACACCATTAAATAATAAACACCATACATTCACGCAACAATTCTTAATTCATTGCTATTTTTCAATAACTTTCTTCGAGCACAAATCTACCATAAACATCAAACAAAAACAATAACACACAACATATAAATATACCAATGCACTAAATGAGTATTTATACTTTGAACTTAGTTGTAAATTTGAATGAATGAATTTTAAACAGAATCCGTACTTGTTTGTTATTAAATATTCATTGATTCCTCTCGGATCGATCGTCACGCATCTTTCTCACACACGTAACAGCACCGTGTCTCCCGCATTTCGTGTGATTTCGAGTACTATCACGGTGCGCCGTCTTTCAACGTCTCTTCTTGATTCTCTCGCGTGTTCCATTCGCGGCGAAACGTTCGTGTATGCCCCGAAGTTTCGTCGCTTGAGCGCGCGCGCGTCCACTTCTTCGACGTTAATATTCTCTCTGTCACTCTCCGCCCTTGTGGAGTCGCGTACCCGTCATCCAATCCCCCGCGAATGATCTCGAGAGATAGGAGGAAACCCGCGGCTTCGGACTTTTATTATTTCTGTAAACTTCGGTCTTTTAAGTTCACACGAACACTCCGATATAATACCTTTGGTTGCGGGCTGCCCCGTGTTGAGTGTGCTCGCCGCGCAGTGACTGTATGGGCTCCAAGAGTATTCTTTGTCCAACGAGTCGCAGCTGCCCGCGTTTAGTCCCTCGTGTTACTTCGACCGTTCTCGGAAATCCTCGGATGTCATCCCGCCACCGTGGCGGGAACCCAGGATACACCAGGATCGTGGTGGTGGAAAGGGAAACCCTGATGGAGTAAGAGGGAATGAGGAATGAGCTGACAAGCAGTGGGGAGGTTTCATTCGTTAACTGCGCGCGCAAAACGCACTGCTATACTACTGATATTCACGCCATCTTGTTGCAACCCCTCGTCCAAGTCAGGACCTAAGATTATCAACTATGTTTAGAATACACTCGCATTTTTCTGGAATTTTTACAGCTGAAAAGTGGCATTTAAATCCGACATTAGTCATCGGATTAATAAATTATTTTTCTCGGGGTTAATTTGTTTAACAAAAAATATTGATTGAAGTATTTTTCAAAAGTCAAATAGATTATTGGAATATTTCAGAAAAAATATAGAACAAATATTAATTGTACTGCTTAAAAAGGGCCATTGTTTGCCAGTGCAGTAAATAATTGTTGACATTCTCAGAAAAGACATAACAGATTTGAAAAATATATTTATCTACATAAAAGGGAATATATTTGCGCAAAAAGTCGAGGGACTGTATGCAGATTTGTTTCAAAACTATAGCTGCAGGATATCGTCCTACAGCCAAAATAAAAAGAAGAATCAGAATAAAAGAGTAGAAAGTCGCAAGTTGGACAATACAGATGCTATTCTGACTTACCCCCGCTATATTTGCTTCCTCATGCTTTCTATTTTTTCAAGTGACTCTCAGGGTACACGTCTGTTTCCTTACTTCCTGTTTTATTTTTCTCTATAAATTATTGTTTAGTTTTCTTCTCTAAATAAAAAAAAAAAGCTCTGTATCATTAGCCACATTTAAATAAAAGCAACAAAAAAATTATCTCTCATATCTTTCATACGTTTAGTAATTTCTTTTTGTCTTGTCACGAAAATTAATATTAATTCGAAAATCATTTATATTTATTTATATATTGATTCAATTGCTTTGTAAGTGATACTTAGTAGCACATAAAGTTCAGGAGCAGCAACTTATCACATCGTAAAGTAAGATAGCTGCCAGAGACATAAACAGGCTTGATATCAATGCAGAAGCAATGCTGAAAAATAATTCATGTCAATCATCAGCTGGATTTATTTATATTATCATAATTATGCTTTCTGAAATACTCGAAAAAAATTTCTTCTTCATTATAAATTACGTATAAAATTTATTATCAAGGACACTGTTATGTACACACTTTTACAATTTCTTGTGTGAGTTATCCAAAATTGAGATAAGCTCTTAACTACACGCCGAGGGCAAAAAGCAGAATGATGGAGTCTGATGGCACTGGAAGATCTCTGAAGATTTTAGATACAGAGATGGCACATTGGTATGGAAGCCATTATGAGGGTTTATAGATGATTATCAGAGAGGTGCCGACGCACTACTGTAAAGACTCAACACTTTTTTCTGTCAAATAAAATATAAGTACATGCCCTCATGCCATAGGTGTGCACGCATACAACTTATTGATTGATATGGATGTGTACGGGCACATTCAAAACGATGGAAAACACCATATGTGCCTGACAACCATAAGCATTGGACAATCGCTCATTAATTCTCATTTATATATTTTTATATTTCATTCTTACCTGATTGAAAGCACCAAATCAAGGCTTCGGTACCCATAATTTACAGTATCCAATTTCTATGACTCATATAATCACCGATATTTTAAATTTAATTTTATATTTAAAAGAAAAAACTCCAACTGTTCACTGTAGGTACAACGATAAGAATATTAAAACAGTGTTGAAACCGTAAATTTACTGAAATGTAATAAAGTTAAAAATCAAATTGCAAAATAATTTTGCTCATTACTGTTAAGCAAGTAGAATGTAACAATAATGAACATTCAATTAAGTAATAAAAAGCGAACATTTTAATGAAAGCAGATTTTTCAGATATTGTCCAAGGTGTTATAAATTACATAAACATAACAATTGTATAAGAAAAAATTAAGTACAGGAAATTTTTGGTGTTGCTGTGCAAGAACATGTTAATTGCTTCGTAATAAATTGTACGTACTTGTAAGTAACGTATCTGATCAAGAAAAATTTAATCTTTAAGGGTTAAAAGAGGCTCGATGTCGGTTATCAAAAACATGCCTTAAGTACTAATAAACAGATCAAAATTATGGTCGAAGATTAATGCACACGCATGAGCTAAAGCCACTGAAGATATTCCAATGCGTAACTCGAGTCTCTCAGCACATTTAGTTGGAGTTAATTGAAGGCCACAATCAACCATCATAATTTTATTTAAAAGAAAAAAAATACATCACCAACCACCATCAAACCATCATATAATAATGATGATAATAAATAGATTAATTTAAATGAATTTTTTTCTATTTTAATGTGTTACCCCATTTGAGTAAATGATATTCAAGGAATTAAAATCCCTCACATATATTTATCTTGGAACAAGACACACCATCAGGTACAATTCTCATTGAAAAGCGAGCAGAGTTGGCAATTAACGACGCGACGTATAAAGAAAAAATTATACCTCGCATCCGGAGGTTTACCATAAAAAAAAGGAAAGGCGAGATATAAATTAGATTCCATTCCTCGACCTCATGCTCGGCAAACCAAGTGCACATGTGTGCGCTCCGTCGCCTCAGCAGAAAGCGCCGGCCGATTTTCCCAGGTAGATTTTCCCGACCGCATATTTTTAACGGCTACCACCCGGTCACGCATGCACGAGGACACGCACAAGACTCAACTTGATGCGTTTGCTCTCTGCTGTTGCTCTACTGATGATGATGATGATGATGACATGTAGTGTTGCAGATTCGTACAAGAGAGACAACAATAATCGAAAAGCACTCGTTCAAATATCTGGTCCATTGACGTTGGACACTCGTAGTTATTATCATGACAATAAACCACGTATGCAGATATAAATTAATGCGTATTCTTCTACCAGAAGTTGACGTACGCAATGTGGTTTTTGTCTCTTCTGTTTCTCTGTATCTGCACACTGACAGGAGATGTATCAGCGACGTATCGGCTTTGATCCTGATGGTGCTCTGAATGTCATTTTTTCCTTCTCTCTGCGTTTCAATTCCAATTCTTCTCGTTGTATCACGTCTTTTGATTAATGTCGTGCTCACACGTACACACGTGAGGGATTAATTACGGGTGAATACACATTATTGTCCTGTGTATATTGAAGAGTTGAAGAAAAATGTGATTTGATTCTCTGATATGGAGATTCAATCAGCTCAATGGCTTGTAGAATAGAAAATTTAGCAAATTAAATGGGAATGAACTTTATCGAGCTAAAGATGACAAAACTAAGCCCTTTTTAATACATTGGATTACCTAGATTGCTCTGAAAAATAAACAATATCGATCTGTAATGACTATCTACCCGTCTGTCTATTTTATAAAATTCATTAAACATTTTTTTTCAACTAATCTCTAGAATGACCTTCTTCTAATAGAACCAATCGATCATTTATAAAAGTTTTTTTAAACTTCAATCTTCATTTCATTAATTTTTTTTTATGCTTCTCTGAATGCAGCCTATTGTTGTTGTTTTTTTTAAATTGTATTTATTATTAAATAATCATTAAAATGAATAATCATTAATGAATTTATTTTCTGAGCTTACAAAGGAATAAATTATCTACAAAAAATCAATAAATCCTATTTAATTGGAGTATTTTTTTTTAAAAGTAATCATGTACCATTTGTATCAATTTTTTTAACGAGCATTACCCTTACCTATCAAAGTAGTATTTGGTCAAGAATGATGTACGATGATGAGGAATTAATATTATCGCGCTATTCCGTTAATACGGTCGTCATGCACGTCCGCACAGGATAATGGAGCTTTACATATATAGTCGATCGAAACGCCCAGCAGGAGAGAACTGTCAATTGTGATCTCAAGCCAATATTGGAGACGGACGCTAATAAGACCCGGCTCATCTGGCTACAAATGCATTTATAGGGGAACACAGAAATTTCATTGAACTATAGAACTTACTATTTCCATTTAAATATTCTCTATAACTCTGACATACATTAATGGAGAGTCTCACCAGAATATTAAATATCTATTTAAGAAAATGTACACTCTTTCCTAGAACATTTTGAGTCACGCTGCTGAGTATTAATAGTTACTGCAGATTTATGATAATCATAACATTCGATTGAGTAATGAGATAATTTTGAATTAGATTATGTAATTCTAATCGAGGATGATTAATTAGATAATTATCAGCCTGTTCATTTCGATTATCGAACTGGAAATAGATATGCTACGCTGATTGTAATTATGTTGGCAATATCTATTATTGATCTGTACAGTTAATTAAATCTTTACAATATTTATTATAAATACATATATTGGTGTACATTTAATATAGACTATTAATTAAATAAATATTCTTATTAAAATATTTTTTTATTAGAGTTTATATATTTTTGTAATGAAGTTTGATTATTTTAGAAAAAAATTACATAATAATGTCAAAAAATTCCCTCACGTTTAAACAAAAAAAATCTTCAATATAAAATCTCGAAATTTGTAACCTGAATTTGTTAAATCCCGAGTGAGCTTTAAATGACTATCGTTGGGATAAAATTTGCCTCTGAACTTTCTTGAGGCAATAAAAAGGCATGGGGTTGAAAGGGGTGAGGTTTAAATCGACACAACCGAAATTAGAAAGCGAGATACTGGGAATTGTTAATTCCTTAAATTTAGCAGACTAAATTAAATATTTTCTGTTATCTTTAATTTCAGTAAGACTGAATTTCACTTTAATAACTTATTTACCAGAGGACTATTTTCCGTTG